CCAGAACTAATATTAGGACTATCATTAGAACTAACACTAAACTAATTGTAAGTAGAAACATTCGGGTTTAGCCGTACGTCTTTCAAGACGGCTTAAATTTTTTTAAACGTTTATATCTGTTATTGAACTAAAACTGCAATTAACACTTGCATTATTATTAGAACTAACACTAGACCTACTACTAGAAACATTCGGATTTAGCCGTGTGTCTAAACACTAAACAACTAACCCTAAACATAAAACTAAAAACATTTAGGTTAAACCATCTTGATAGACGCATGCCATAGAAAATAAAATGTAAATTTGTATTAAAAATTTTAAATAGTTTCTAAAGTATAGAAGTTATTAAATTTTTTGCTGTTGCTACACAAGATTCCATGTTTGGTAAATCGTAAAGTAGTATTATTTAGTATTTATGATAATACTTGGAGTGTAACAACTACTGTATATAGTCATAAATATGTTATTTAATTATTTACCTATGATATATTGATTTTACGACATTGATTAAAATGCTTCATTAAACAAAATCAGAAACAATCACATATCCAGTTATCAAACTTCACAATCTGTCTAACTTAATAAATTTTGATGGAATAGAAACCATACAATCAGCATTACACAGCTTTAATAATTCATAGGTATTAAGACAGCAAACAAAATGCCGTCTACGGTGTGAGTTATGGTAAACTGAGATAATTCAACGATTTCTCAATAACTTGCCTGCAAAGGAGTGTTCGCAGAATCGGTGCCGGCACCTTTTGCGGTTAACAATGACAATGAATATTACTCTAAATGAAAATACTTGTCTAATATATTTCTCGTCCAATATATATTTTATTACAAATTTTCAAATCAATTCCTTTTGTTAATTACTATCTGCTTAACGTCCGCCTTCTCTTTAATCAAGTATAAATTGGCAATTAATTTACAGCTAAGTTAATTTAGATTCTTATTTGGTAGTGAAAATAATTTTCTCGTTTAGTATTGATCAGATGACGCCAAAAGGTCATCATTCCCCGTCGACGGCTTGGTAAGTACTTGAACTCCATTAATTTATTTGCTCCGACTCTGGAAAGAGTATCACGAACAAACACCGACTAATTGAACTCTCTATACGGAGTAATTAAATTGATCTTCGTGAGTCTAGGAAATTTTCTGATTCATCCGTTTAAAATCGATGTAAATTAATATTTCCCTATGGGCATCTATTTGCTTATATCAACCACAAACATGCTAAGGAATTACCATATTATGTTATACCACGTTCGTTTGAGAATTTATTTATAAATATCTGTGGTTGTATTAGTGGTTAGTGTAATGTTAATGAAGTTTTTTTATGTATCTCTCGATGTATTTTCCAAATATCTGAAAATAAATTATTAACTCAAACGATTACCCTTTTAAGAATATTTTTGTCTTCGTTTTATCATCGTAAAATAAATCGAGCCATCTCAAATATACTTGGTTAAGTAGTTGGAACTAAACACGATACTAAAAACAGTAATAAAAGCTCTCCGCTTGAAAGTGCTCAACATATCCGAGAGATAAAATAGGAACGTCTGATATGAAATTTTACGGCACCAAATTGACAACAAACGAACTTCTCGTTTCTACTCTAATTGCCAATTATTTTCAATCAGGTTATAAGTAAGAAAAAGTTTCTTTATTTGACGTATTTAGAGCTTTGCGATTATAAGATAACCGTTCTCTATTCTATTCCTAAATAGATGACCATCGAACAGGTGTATCTCACGAGTACATTTAGGTCAACTCTAAAAAATCGATTCTTTTAATTCCTCTTAATTTCTAAATCAAAAAATTGAATGGTTGATATCTAAATAAAATAAATAACTTTCTACTGACCTCAACGAACAAAACAAACAGTAACATTTTAGCAGTTACATAATTTCAAAATAATCCGAATAGAAAACCCAGCGGCCTTTCAAAATGGTATTAAGTCACATTCACGTATTTCCCCATTGATTGATATTTTGCAATGAAAAACTTTACTCGCATAATTAATACTCAGAACACCTCAGTGACAATCGTAAAATACAAGGACAAATCACATTCCAGTATAATCACAATATCTTAAACCAATCTACATAGATTTATCGTTAATAGATTAACCCTATAATATTTAGGAGCCGTTATAATTCCAACAAGAAATAGATTTATATAGACGCCGGATTCGATTATGGCCAAACACTTGATAACAGTGTTTATGTTGTTTTTTTTTGGGTGTTTGAGTTTGTGTTCGCAAATATGTAGTTGGGAATAAAGAGGAACTGTGGTATTACTTTACTCAGTGTCCGATAGCTTTCAAACGGTATCTTTAGTTTTGTTTTAGTTTATGCGTTGTAAATAAATAATAATGCGGTGAATTTCTTATCAAAAGGAAACGAATTTAAATAAACGTTATTAGATAAAGTTTGTTGCTACATTTACCATTCCATGATTAATTAAAATTTGAAGGAGATTTTATTAACAAATAGGGAGCGAAATTGATATTATTTATACAATTATATCTTCAGAAACAAATTCGAAGTGTTCAAAATGTACAAAATCTTGGCGTTGAATAACAATTAAATTAAAACGTTGCGAAATCTTTGTGTTAGTTTGATATTTCGCATAAAAATAAATATCAAAATCTTATTGCAATAATCTAAAAACCGTTTATTTTTAATTTGATAACATTCATGACCTGAGTATGCAAGTTTTATTGTGCTTATTAATCAAAACTACAACATGATATAATAACCATACTATAACAACATTTAGATAATAAAAATTATCAATTTACTTCACTAAATTTTCCTGAAAAAAAGTTGATAAAATTTTAAATCAACGAAATAATATCTCGTAAATATTTACACTTTCCGAACTCATTTTTGATTTCCTGTTACGATAACTCATTGCTTAACTAATATTTGTGAAAACGAATATTTTCGTTAATTTTACTTTAAATCCTCTACGAACAGATTATTTTCCTTGAAATGGGATTCGTGTGCTTACCGAGAAATATTTATTTTTCGGTTTCGAATATATGCGTTTTGTCTAAAAATAAGCTGTTGTGGTGTTGCGTTTCATTGCTGCAGCAAATTTTCTTAGAACATGTTAAATTGCAAAATATTATTCAACGTGTTAAAAGTCAAATTAAAAAAAAAAATACACCGAATCGACGTTAATGTAATATTTACCTTTGTAATATTATAGTTTTTAAGAAATGATCAACAGGATGTTCCACGACAAGGTCAAGTTGGAAAAGTATATTCGAAAGTCAAATCTCATCGAGGATGAAAATAAAGATATATGTAAATACACCTTTTTCCCTTGGGTGCAATCAATGTTGGATTGTCAATTATTAATGAGATCATTCGAGAATTTATAGTAGGATTTAAATTTTAGTTTGTCGGGGAATGATCTCCATATGCGAGTTTTGCATACGAGATACAAGCTTTAGAACGAGATTTGCACAAATTGAGATACCATCGGTTTCTGTTTTATTTGTTTTTTTATCGATCAAAATCGATATTTATGACCTTAACAAGTACTGCTTCATTAAACGCTAGTTTAAAATCTAATCAAATGTTCCTTTTCTTCTATTAGATTCAAAATTTATAGATTTTAATTAACGAAATATAAATAAATTATAATTATAATACATTCACGGACAGAGAAGAAACAGACATGGACAGAAAAATGCCTTTTGGATTCAGTCACCTACAACAAAATCAAGATCAAGTTTACAGATATTTTAGCAAAACCAAGAACTTATTAACTTAATTACCACCAAGAATTTATTGATTACCTAAAATGTACAAACCAGATATTATCAGTGCCATAAATTCTTGAACGTATTGGCAAAAGCGAACCCGGAAAATAGAAGAGTTTATAACACAACAGCCACGTTTTGATAAAAAATCGACGAGCTATAATAATTATAAACCGAGGAGAAGACAATGATGAACGTAAAGTGAAATATATTTAAGTTATTTAACTGGTAGGTACATAAGGGGGCCCATTGCTTACCTGGTAGAGAAAATCCCGGACGTGTTTATAATGTTTTTTAAGGTTACTTAATAATTATATAATAGGTAGTAAAATCCTTAAAATATCTTTTAAAGTAACTTCTTTACCTGTTACAGACATTTCAAAGAATTAAATTAGCATGGAAGGTAACATAGAGTAGAGAAAAAACAGATTGAAAAAAAGATTGAAGATTTTTGACGAGGGAGCAACTAAGTCAATAAAATGTTATATAAATCAGGAGGGGTTTAGACCATTCAATTAACCACCCAGAAACTTCCAGCAGTATCAATATCTTATTAATAATTGCCTACTTCATTCTCAGTAAAATTTATTTCCAATCTCATCACTACATTCTTAAAATGATACTTTATTTCGTTCTTATCTTATTTTTGGGCAATCATTGGATCAATACTTCATCCTTAATTTCTGGGTCGCATCTTGTCAAATTATATTTTAGACACTTTTAGGTGTAACGGCTATCCACAAAAATAATTTTTCCCATTCTAGTCTTCATCGAACTCTCTTTCTCTCATTTCCACATATACGTGTTATCTCCATGTCTACGGAATTTTAGGACACTGTCTCTGCTTTGTGTTCTTTGGCACACTCCTCTACACACCCATCTATTTTCACTTTATGGACCATAACCATCATCAGCCATTCAAAAACCACGCCAATAACCTCAAAGCGTATGCGTGATTGATGCCCGAAGGAATAACTCAAACCAATCGACCGAAAGAATCAAAAAGGAGTTCGGTGTGGCGTTGGCATTCATCATCATCAATCCTCGGGATTCATCGGAAGCTTCGGGCATTTAAAAACACATTTTAGCGCCACCGCAAAATAAACATTTCATTCTATACAACAAAAACAGTAGTCTGAAGAGAGGTTCTCATCGGTGGTCAGACGGCGTCGGAGTGCGCAAACTCCAGCACGGCTTAGTAGTAAATTTTCAAACATCTCGAAGTCTCGAACCGACGTCTGCATACATATAGTTTCGCTCGGTATCTCGTGCTGTTAACACGTTGAGTGTCACACTAACCAGCGTGCGCTTTCGACACGAACGAAAGAGAATTAACTTCACAAGGTGGTATTGTGTTTATGTTATGTGGTGACAAGTTTTCTGGATTATAATTACTTTAATTAGGATTAAAGGTTTTCGTTGATCATCAAGGTAATTGTCTTAATCAAAATTAAATAACAATGAAGTGATTGTTTTATAGAATTATTACGCACAAAATTAATTTTCGTCACCGATTAAAAACGAAATACATCTTTTGTAATACATTGATAACATTTATTTTGATTAAAAGTGCTCAATCAAACATTTAGTTTAACCAATTAATGTGACTTAATTAAGTTTTGTTTCCAAGTTAACAACGTAATTAAAATAAAACGAAAAGTAACAGTAAGTATATGGGATTATTATAATTAATTAGTGAATACAATCAACCGTAATCTAACTCAGGAAGGTCGTAAATTCTTAATCATACCTGATTATGATGAAAACGACATTGCATCTTAATAAGTCACTTCTATACGAATCACGGTGAATCATAAAAATAATTAAGTCTCTTACGGTGTTAGTGTTTCTAGGAAGTTTTCGCACAACGAAAACGAACTCATCTCATAAAGATTTCTTGGTACTACTTAGCCAATAAAGTTTGATTGCCATCGTCTATCCAATGAATACTAAAGATCGTATTAATTATCGATGATAAATTCTTCGGATGTCGACGTCTTTCCTCTCAGCGACGACCTCCGCCGTTCGTCCAACTATACAGTTACTTTTAGTATCGCGAGAGGAGGAAGTCATATATTTCTACCTTTTTGTATTCTTTACACAGGATGAACGGGTGTCCCTAGAGAGTTTTAGTTTTCCGAAACTATAACATAATTATAGATACACTTTCTCCACCGAGATATTCTCTCTTTCCCATGATTTCATGACTTCATGACTCATTATGAGTGATACTAGTAGTTGCAAAAGGCAACATTACCTTGCCTAAGTGCGGTATTGTTCCTATACTTGGTGGTAAAAGAAGAAAAAATGAGCTCATTAAAAATGTCCTCAACAATCGCAATGAATGGAAAAACGCTGGGAACAACGCGGAGAGATTGCAATGCGTTTCACGACAACCACATTGTTCCCTGCGAAAACAAACTTTATTAAACCTACTTTGTCTACATTAATTCTTAAATTTCAATTATGACCTCATTATTTTAATTTAATAAATTCTTTACAGATGATGAAACATGTGCAGTTGTCTCCGTTTAGGAGCAGAGCTGACACAGTATCCCTAAGCTCGACGACATCTTATGGTAGCTTGAGCCCGGAGCCGCTTGGTAGCAGATCTTCAAGCATCTCGTCTCTCAGCGAATCCAATAACTTACACGTAAGTGAAATATTACCTCAATCCCGTTTCGTATTTACAGACATATCATATAAATTTCACGATAAACGCAAATGCAGCAAACTGACTTAATATATGCAACTTTTATGTTAAAACAAAACGCTTCAATAAATTTACTTAGGTGTTAAGCCGATTAAACAAATACTAATTAATCCACGAGCGAATTTTTAGATTATTATCTGGGAGAATCATTACGTCTATACTATGATTAAACAATAGAAATGCTTTGTGCAATAGCTTCCTCATTGGTGTTATTATTTTAATTTATTCCGAGTTTGAGAAGTTATTCATATCCATCTCTATATCTTGAATGTACGTAAGTCGCGTTACAAGTGAAAAAGGTTAAAACCGTAATTATAAGACTTCGTCAATGTCGCCAAGAAAACAGTCGACATTTCTTTTACTTCGCAACTGGAATTTACGCGAAGAACTGGTTTTGTAAGTACATATACGCGTTCAAATGTACTTATCTTCAACAATTATAGCAAACGATGGGATGAAAAAATTGTTGGAAAATGACAAGACATGAAACGAGATGTTTTCTGTAACCCAAGAAAATAAATCATGTTTTCTTGGGTTGTTTGAAAATTGCAACGTTAATATTAAAGTTATCTAAAACATAGTTTCATTAATATTAACTATTTATTACTATGTTGGTGCCCTGGCCAATTCAACTTGAGTGTTGCAATCTTTTGATCCTCTATTCTAAGATCTTCTCACTCTTATTATTCTAAGCCCTTCAAGATAAAATCACCATTAAAACTCAAGGTTCATCTATGTCTTAACATCGTAACTCTTTCTTAAGATGTTAATAGTCAAGGATAATATAGAATTTCATTCCCGCGCTAATCTAACTTAATGATTTGTCATGGTTCGCAAGTATCATAGTTTATGATGACAACGGCTACCGCACGAAAGAGGAGAAGGTGGCATCTGTTTGAAAAATGCCGTTACGCGAGTTGTAAGGAAGAATGGTATCCTCCGTGGGAAGGCCTCGGTCGAGTTGACGGAAATGAGTTACCTTGTAAGGACGACTGCGTCTACGACCTCTCGACTTACTGTTGCTCACCCTGCGGCCATCCAACCGAGACTGACGGAATATGTTAATGAGAAAGAAAGTAAATTTTTTTAAAAACTACAATTCTAATTAAATCAATTTGATAAATAAATGTTTTATATTATAAAGCCGTCAAGCTCGCCTTATCTGATTTAAACTCAATGAAGCACGACGTAGAATCAATTTGTTGCTACCGTCTTAGTCTGATGTAAAACAATAAAACACCTCTTAAACGAGTTCTGCTTATCGCGAGAGATTATATAGCGGCGTCGCAACTTGACGATAATTGCATGTCTTCAAGTCTCGCCCAACGTTTTGATGTACAACTCACGAACCTCTTCGCCAGCTGGTAACAACTTGCAATCGGTTGCCATCGATTTGCATGAACCGTGTGGGTTGATAACGTTTAAAATGACCTCAAAGACCTTACTGACTCAGAGAGGATCTTTTCGCGGAACCCGTGTTGTTCCCAAAAATAGCATCTTCAGGTATTTGGGTTCTGAATATTTTGCATTCGTTGAATTTAAAAAGTTTTCACGATTTATAACGATACAAACTTGGTGTTTAGCATTGTCACAAACGGCAATGTTTAATCCCACGAAACGCATTGTTCCTAATAAGACCAAAACGTCATTGTTTCCGTTCGTAACTAGGTTAGTGAATTACAGAGCGTTTAAGCGGCTATGAAATTATGAAAACCCGAGTTGGAATTGTATAATTGGACATTCCCACATTAGTTCAAAAAGTTGACGAGTTTTTACGACATGAGATCCGCTCGTTTCTTACTAAGCTATGTTTTGTACCTAGTAATTTGAAAAGCAATAAAAAAATTGTAACCCATATTGAAGTGATGACGTGCATGGTGTGTTTCACTTGCAAAACGCGTAAGCTCACGCCTCGTGAAGAGAAAAAAGGAAGGAAAAGGGCTATGTACGCCAGATGCTATCCGATACCATGAGAACAAACGATGGGAACGCGACTGGAAGTTTTAGTGGAACGAAAGCCGACTTTGACCATCTTTGTCTCGTATACTTTCCCCCCAAGATTCCTCAGTGTCTTTCTGAACAGAATAGAAATATACCTGTCAATAGGATGTCACGTATCTTATTCTCCAAAAAATACTTCAAACTTAAATTTAAATCATCGCAATTATCTAAATCGTTTAGTGTAGTTGACCTTTAGATAACCACCGTCATATTGGGATTACGTTGCAATAGACGCATTGTACGAGGAGATTAAATAATTCCGGGAAACTTGTGCAAAAGAAGAGAGTATAAGGCGCCTATAACGCTCAATTTAAGAAGGAAACGCTCCGTCAATGCAATGAGCTGTGACTCCCATGTCGTCCCTTTAATTTTGTTCTGAGTTGGGATCGTTACAAACTGACCTTCCAGTTAATTGGATTTGGTAAATTGAAAAAGCTTCCCTCCAAGAGTGAACCAAATTCTTTTCGTTCAAACTCAATTCCAGGTGGAGTATTTGGAGATGTCATAAATAGTAAGAGTATTTTTTTATCGCATTAATGAATTATCACGATATTTTTAGTTGCCACCCGTGTTACAAAAAAGACGCGTAAAACCTTAAATGCGCTTGGACACAAAAATACACTCAAACGATGATTACCAGCAAATATAACCCGAACCTATAAGTTTTAAGTTGACATTTCTATATTTATCTTTTAGTTTTCTTTATTATTATTTTTTGAGGTAACGCCCTCAAGAAATTTCGTCTTAATTTCAATTTAATATAATTACCAATTTAAAAAGTGCTTTGTCGGGAAAGAAAGAACATAAGAATTATCACGATACAAGCAATTATTATCCTCTCTTTGTGGAGTAATTCCCTTAACCATATGGCCCCGAACATCTGCTGTCAGTTTTCGTTAATATAAAACCTCGAAATCTGTTTAATGTGAAGGTCAGAGATCCTGTTGAGTTATAAACTGAAAGAATTGAGTTTGGTTAATAATATCAACTGCGTGAGTAATGTTACGTAAAGGTTTAATCGGTGGCAAAGAAAATATAATCGCTGACAGCTCAGCGTGAAGTTTTATTTTAAACGAAACATTTATCGTTTTAAACCAACACCCGTTCAATTCAGCGAACTCGTGCCCATTGTTTTGTCGGTTGAATTGTCACCGTTCGAAGCCCCTCCTAAGGTCAGAAGTAAAACTCGACTGAAGCACGCGTCGGTTAAAGTTAGTTCCTCATTTCCATTAACATGCAGCTTGCTACTGAAGGAGTACATTTATTATACCACGCAAAATCTAGATATTTTAGTTACATATTGAAATTCATACTAAAACTTTTTTATTTGATAATAATAAGTTGATTATGATAACTTATTTCATAGCAAATCTTAATGAAGGTCGAAAAAAATTACATGATGAGACAATTTGATACGCAACAATGGTTACTACAATTATTACAGTTACATCGTTAAACTAAAAAATCTCAACTATAATAAGACAATTATATTAACCAACAGTAATAATTCGTGAACTCTTTTTTGCCATTCTTTTACTGTGACGCATTTAAATATAAAAACACCTTTCTAGGTCGTCAACAGATTTTATCTAACGTACCAGGAAATGAAGGTTGCGCCTTAATTGTCGCACACCAAACATTACGCATTTTTATTGCTCTACACAACTCAAAATGTATCCATTTTTTTCAATCTTTATATCTTTCATTAAACTAGAATTAACTTTTTCACTATCATTAAAACTAACACTAAACCTAGAACTAGAAACATTTGGGATTAGTCGAATGATCTAGTTCTAAGTTTAGTGTTAGTTCTAGTTTTACTTCCATCACCAAAACTAACACTAGACCTAGAACTAGAAACGTTTCTAGTTCTAAGTTCAGTGTTGGTTCTAATGTTAATAAAATTATACAACAATCTAGCGCTGAATGACAATTAAAACTAGAACTAACACTAGACCTAGAACTAGAAAGTTTCGGGTTTAGCCGAGCTTACTTTATTTCTACAAATTTCAACATAATAATTATTTTATTATTCAATTTATGATCTGTTGAAATTGTTTATAATTTCAGTAGATTATAATATCCATTGAAATGATATTAATCAACTATTGTTTGTATGAAAGTCCTGAGAATATAACCCATTCATTTTACTTTAATACGGATTATCATTCTTAATTAATTCATTTAAACAACACGTGAATAATTACTTTGTTTATATATGATTAATAAAGTTATTACGTAAAGTTGCAGCAACAATGAATAAATTGAATTGAAACGTAAACAAAGCTAACAAAATATAAAAAATAACAACTTTACAGAAAGGTTATTAGTAATTCCTAACATTATATCACATAAAAATATTTTTTTATTACATTTCGTTTTATTAATATTATTCCGGAAGCGAGATTAAAATGTATGTTGTGGTTTGTTCAAAGTACGTGCTCCAACTTTAAATACTTTCCTAATTGAGTAAGCTTATTTAAAATACAGTTGTTATATACAAAGTGTTAAATGAGTTAATTGCATCGCCAATTTCTCATCGAGCTTGTTATGTTGGAAATAGTCCAAAACGCCAACTGTGTGGCAATCTGAAGATAACCTTCTAAAACTTATGCGCCCATTTGGTTTTAGTTCCGACCTCGTGGGCGCTATATTTCACGGCGGCTTTCAGTTTTCTGAAACGCCTTCATGTTATCCAATTTATTACAGGATATTATGTCGGTGGAAAAAACGCGAGCAAAATGTGTTATGGGCGTGTCGTTAAATTTATTACAAGAATCATGTTTGATCTATTTTCGGGAGTATCAATAATAATAATACCATAATAATATTTAAGAAAATATTTTTCGATAAGTTGTTTGTGAGTTAAGAATTAATTCTCGAGGCAGTTTCAATTTCCGCCGGAGAAAGAAGAGTTACGCAACATCGAGGTCGCTGAA